CAAATCTGTTATTCTCTACTGTTTCGATAGATATCGGTCCTGTTACACCCCATCAATATAAAACTACAAGATATATTCGTCAATCGATATAATTAATTCTCAAACTTTACCACTTTCTAAGTGTTCTATCACAGCATCTGTTCTCCTAAGTCCTCTATTACAGCACCTAATCTCCTAAGTGCTCTATGAAAACATGTACTCTTAAGTGCTTTATCACAGCATGTGTTCTCCTACGTCCTCCATTACAGCACCTAATCTCTTAAGTGCTCTATGAGAACATGTACTCTTAAGTGCTCTATTACAGCATATATCTAAGTGTTCTGTGACAGCACCTGTTCTTCTAAGTGCTCTACCACATCACCTATTTTATGCTAAGCGTTTTGATTTCTTTTTTTTATCTAGACTGGTTCGGATTCTTCAACAAAAAACGAGCTGGTATCTGTTTGCATGCTACCTTTTTTCCACAGTCTTTAATACGAATTGAGTTTATGTTTATGTGACAAACTTCATCAGATTTTGGTAATTTACAAAGGCTTACAGTTTTATAGCTTTGTCAATAATAAATATCGTGCCAATTTAAAAAAAAGTAATTTTACTACCACTTTGTATACATTTAGATGAAAATAACAAGAATTTTGCTATAGGAGAACCACTACCCATTGAAATTATTCATTTTTTGTTAACTATAAAAGTTGCCGATTAGAAGTCAGAAAATATTAATTATTGGAACTAGCTATATAGAAATAGCAATGGAAAAATGAGAAATAATGTTATTTTTACTGTTACAGTAGTAAACAATAAATACAGGTTTTGATTGTTTGCTTGTTGTTGAACGCAAAGCTACACAATGGGCTATTTGTCGTTTGCTCAGATTTTTAGCGTCATAGGTCCAGAGACTTACCGCTGAGTTACTGGAATTATAAATATAAGCATGGTAAATGAGAAGTTTCAAGACATTATAGGAATTCTTTAAGTAATTCAATTATTTCCTTCACAGTTCGATAGAAGACTGGCGAGGTTAAAAACCCTTCTCTTATTTATTATAAAAAAGAATGATGTCTAACCGATAATAGTTCATACATAGAGAATAGGTCTAAAATAATTAAACGTTTAATATTACTTTTTATAACAACAACAACAAAAAACACAATAGTAAACATCACACAAACTGGGCTAATATTCTCCATATTCTGGCTCTAATACATTGGATCTAATACATATGACCAAATAAACAAACTAGGTAATCAGAACCCTGCTTTATTTACATCAAATAGGTTTAGGTTTCGTTTTATGAATGAGATGATGGAAGAGTTTTTTCACAGCTCACGTTTTGCAATGTTCCAGAATCCTGTGATTCAGCGGTAAGCTTGTGGGCTTATAAAGCTAAAAATTTGAGTTCAATACCTGAGATGAGCAGTTACTTTGCGGTGGAAGTTTACTCTCTTGCAATGAAAGCTTCCAGCAGGGTGTTTGATAGGCATAGAACTGTATCTCTACTGTGATGAACTCGGATACATAATATTATTACGACTATTAAAACACATTATATATGCTCTAATAAAATTTCAAATACTTAATTTTGTTTTCTGAAAGTTATTTTGCATTTATTTTATGTGGCCTGGTGCTTGACTCCCAATCTGTTGCTCGCAGGTTCGAATCCACGTTACTGAACATGCGAGCTCTTTCAACCGTGGGGCATTATTATTTTACGGTCAATCTCACTATTTGTTGGTGCAATAGTTGGTGGTGGGTGATGTTCACTATCTGCCTTGCCTCTATCTATTTTGCTTGATATAACATGATTCACAGATAACATCGCAAGCTTTCCAGTTAAGAATACATGATTTAATGCTAAGATTTCGTGTTTCTCAGTTAAAAATCGCTTATTTCCGAGTTAAGTTTGTCTTATTGTAAAGCATCTATTCTGCCCACCGTGAGAATCGAATCCCGGATATTGGCGTTGTAAGTCTATAAACGTACCACTGACGCACCGGGGGACTTTCAGTTCAAGTTTTGTTTCACAGTTAAGATTTAATGTTTTGCACGTAACACCGGAGCCGAAGATTTAGGGACCCCTTAACGGGGGGGGGGGGTCTCCCCTCTCTACAACACAGAAACTGTTTCTGTTCTTTATGTAAGTAAATTTTGCAACATTAACTAACGGTAGAGCAAGACTCTTATTTCATTTCTATATATTTACACTCTGGTGTAAATAAAAAAAAATAATACAATTTATAGCACAAGGTCTGTTTGATCAGTTTTTCATATTGAAGCGAAATGACCAGAAGCAGAAAATTCCAACTTGCGAATGTTATAGATATATATTAATATTTTTATTGGTATTAATAGGTCTTCCCCAGGTGGGTCAGGGGTAATTTTGCGAACTTACAACGCTAGAGTCCAAGGTTCCATTCTACACAATGTACAGGGTGCAGATAGCATTAATAAGTTTATTAAGTTTAATGATTAATTTTTCAGCTTATGGTTTTAGAGCAAAGCCACATTGGGCTACCTGCTGTGTCCTCCACGGGGAATCGAACCCTGGATTTTAGTGTTGTAAATGCGTAGAGTTATCTCCTATCGGGAAACTTTTCAGCTTGAAAATACTATTTGTCGTTAAATGAAATGAAATGAAATACAAGCCTTAAAACAGTACAAATAATAACCAAACTTCCACATCTGTGGATCCTGACTATCGAGGATCCCTGGGAAACTTCCACATTTGTGGGTCCTGACTATCGAGGATCCCTGGGAAACTTCCACATTTGTGGGTCCTGACTATCGAGGATCCCTGAGAAACTTCCACATTTGTAGATTCTGACTATCGAGGATCCCTGGGAAACTTCCACATTTGTGGGTCCTGACTATCGAGGATCCCTGGGAAACTTCCACATTTGTAGATTCTGACTATTGAGGAACCCTGGGAAACTTCCAGATTTGTGGATTCTGACTATTGAGGAACCCTGAGAATCTTCCACATTTGTAGATCCTGACTATTGAGGAACCCTGGGAAACTTCCACATTTGTAGATCCTGACTATTGAGGAACCCTGGGAAACTTCCACATTTGTGGATCCTGACTATTGAGGATCTCTGGGAGGAGCTTATGTTGCTTGTCCGGGATTTCCAGCTCCAAGTGTTACTGTTAATATCACATGCTTCAAGATAATGTATTGAACTCTTTCATATAATTAGCGTAGGTTAAAATAACAGTTTATACGTTCTGGTCACCTCAAAGTCAGTATCATTACAGATGTCATCCATTTTTGGTGAGATACAATCTTAAAACGTTTCGCCCCATTCAATTTACGTTTCTTTTTTTACTTTATATATTTTCAACTTAATATATATATGTTATATATATGTGTGTTCGTGTGTGTGTGTGTTTTCACTAGCTGGTGGGTTAAACTAGTTCTAAAATCAAGTGCTACAGATCATTATTGTATACAAAACAGAACACACGTTTATTTTGTTTGTTTGTTTTCCTACGTGCAATACTCAATCATGCTAACCACACACTTCCAAAATTCGTGACCGTCTTCTAACCATTAAATATGTATCCTGTCTACAAATCCTACAAGTTTTGAGGTATTTCGATATTCTAGTTCATGTTAATAGATTGAAGTTAATCAAAAATCGCAAGAATGTTACGAGGATAATTTATATTTACATATTGGAATGAAGAATTCTTTATTTCCATTTCAACGGAGAAGTGCAAAAGCTTTAAAATTGTTTTATTATTGATTGTATCCAATCAGTATTATAAGTTGTTGATATCTAAATAAATAACCTCCTGTTATATCGTATTCGAGACGAATATTCAATATGCGGGATCAATATTCCCAGGCAATTGATGGAGAATCACTCTTAGATGACGAAAGTTTATCGGTATTTCAACATCAACAGTACCTATGCGACACATGGAATAAACGGCCAAGTCAAAGACCTTGAAGCTCAGGCGTAGCTGTCCTTAATTTAGAACTTGTTTGTTTGTTTCTAATTAAGCACAAAGTTATACAATGAGCTATCTGTGCTCTGCCCACCACGGGTATCGATATCCAATCTGCTGACCAGAAGGAAAGCAACCATTCAGTAGCACCTACAAGATACACGGCTACTTTTAACTAGCCGAATAACAGGACTAACTGTTACTTTTATAACGTGTCCACAGCTGAAAGCGCGAAGCATGTTCAACAGCATTTCGTGGCTCGAATCTTGGAGTTGCCGATACGCAGCCCGACACGCTAATCACTATACCATTAAAGTTTCTAACAATTTATAGAGAAAGCAACAAACTCTTTGAAATGGGATGATAAAATATCGCAAAACAGAAACTATTTAGATCTAAACTAACAATTAAATCAAGCAAAAAATAAAGCTCTCCATATAATATATATACATAAATCAAGATTAATGATTTCAGTATTAGTTCTCACATTTTGTAAAATATAATGTATAAATAAACGTGCCAATAAGTGTTCATTTCCTTTTAAGGAAGCTTAACTTCCCGAGTTCGTTAGTAGATGATGTAGATATCTTGACTTCGTCACTTGTATGTGGTTTTCATCACGGCCACCACATGCGAGTTCGTAATCTAGTTCACTTGATTTCATCCGATTCAAGTTTCAGTAAACATTTGGTACGAATGTTTTCTTCTTTCTTTTTCTTTTTACTATTTTTCTTTGGGATGTGTAAACTGCTAATATGTTCAGAAAATCTGAAAGTAATTCACACATAATTAATGACGTTTGCAAATAAAGCTTTAAACGCGTGAGATGAAATTAAAACAATGAACACTTGGCTAAGTAAAATGTATATATATAAAAAAAAGGTTATGAGGCAAAATATGTTTAAAAGATACCTGAAGACATAATCCGAGAAGCTAATGTTCATCCACGGGACATTGATTGAGGGTATAGACTTTTATGTAGTTCAGCTCTTAGTCTCGGGCTATTAAGTACTTACGCTGAACAACAGTAATCTCTTCACTAACTAGAGATAAAAAAAAAACATTCCACACGCACACGAAACCGAGTGGAAGACAAACTAATCAACCCTACATGCTTTTCCTAGTGGTTTTAAATTAGGGAGTCAGCTTTCCTTCTCTTACAAGATGCCTTTTTCTTCTTGCTAGCAATCTTGTCTGGCCTAACACGATCAGGCTCTCGTTTCGAAATCTGCGGGTCGTGGGTTCCAATACTCTCACCGAACATAGTCGCCTTCCAGCCGGGTGTGTGTTTTGTTATAGCAAAGCCAAAACGGGCAATTCGCTGTGTTCACCGAGGGGGAATCAAATCCCTGATTGTAGCGTTGTAAATCCGAAGACTTACCGCTGTCCCACCGGGGGACTCCAGCTGTGGGGGCGTAATAATGTTACAGCCAATCGCACCATTCAATTATTAAACCCTAAGAATTGGCGGTAGGTGGTGTTGACTAGCTGCCTTCCCTGCATTAAGAACGGCTAGCCTTGCACGAAATTCAACAAATAAATATTTTTTCTAAGAGTAGAACACAAAATATCATATATAGACTCATTATGGAAGCTATTTAATAAGCTTTTACGTCAGATCACACTGAATACAGTTAGTAGCACTGTATTTCTGTCCGTTCATTTGTTTAATTGTAGTTTTCAATTAATGTTGTAACGTGCTACTAGAGGATTAAATCTGTATTTTTTAAGTAGCTGTCTCATTCTCTGGATGCTTTAACATACACATTAGTGTTAATATAAATATATATATATATATATATATATATATATATATATATATAGTATAGTTAGTTACGTCTCTACGTTACGGTTAGTTTAAGTTTTACGTTTAACGTTTACGTTTACCTAACGTAAACGTTAACG